AAAACATATAGTACATTGCTGCTGTCAGAATGGATTCATGGAGTGGGAGTTACTTACCTTTCCCCTTCTTATAAAGCCCAAAATACCCCTGCCCCAAATACTGTTCTTGGGAGACCCCCCAGAAACAGCTTGAGAAGGGAACTGAAGCTCTATGAGGTTGGATTTGTAAAAATTGTGCCCTCTGCCATAACCCAATATCTCCAAAGAACTGCACCCATCCCTAAAGTACTGAAAATAGAATTGTATGAATAGTGGGGTGATACACAATCCCCAAACACCAATTGAAATTATTCACAACATACCAGTGCAAGTAACAAAAATGTGACTGAAAGGGGGTAGGTAAGCAGAGACATTTTGTCATTTTCTACCAGAAATTATATTGCATTGCATAACAGACTACTGCAAATGAATGCCAATGATACTCATAACAACAAAACACATGATTTGAATGTGTGACATAGCAGATGTGCCTTGCCTTTTCATAGGTGCAAAATATTGCTGACTGCTCAAAAGTGCAATATCTCTGGAACAATAGCTCTGCCTGGTCAAGACGCGTGTGGACAAACTGGTAAACAAGTCGAGCTGCTTCGTTGAGGGGCTGTGGCTCCGTGGTATAGCATCTGCTTTGCCTTGCAGAATGCCCCTCGCTCAGTCCTGGGCATTTAGAGATAAAAGGACCAGGTAGCAAGTGACATGAAAGATCAGTGGCTCAGTGGCAGAGCATCTGCATTGCAGCCAGAAGGTCCTAAATACAATTCCTGGTATCTGCAGTTAAAAAGAAGCAGGTTGTGGGTGATATGAAAGGCCTCTGCCTGAGACTCTGGAGAGCTGCTGCCAGTCAGAGTAGAGAAGATCTTGATAGCCCGATGGTCTGACTTTGCAGAAGGCATCTTCATGTATAACAACAACAACAGTGAAAAATCCATTTGCAGCTTGGTCATTTAAAAAAATAAAAGAGTAAAAGATGTTTGTATTAAATGCAGTGATACCTTTGGAGGGCAGGAAACTGAAGCGATGTTCTGAATGTGGGCACAAGCGGGAGGAGAGAGAGTCTTCCAAGGGCCAACAACTCCAGAGAGTCTGTAATATGAATCCCTCACAAAGTGCAGCTGAACTGGAGAAGTAACATGCTGAATCCACACACCTGCTCCTGCCAATACATATGCTGGGAATTGGCAAGAACTTCCCATCATTATCACAATAACTCTGGACTCTGAATGCTGAGCTGCTCCTGTTGAGAGCTGAAAACTGAAATCTGCTGTTCCTGTCCTCTATCCTGGTGCACGGTGGGCTAGTTATGATCAGTGTTCCCTCTAAGCTGAGTTTGTGTGAGCTAGCTCACAGTTTTTTAGCCTCTGGCCCACACATTCTTGTCTTAGCTCAGGAAGGATGGCTCCAGAGCAAACTAATTTATGCAATAGCCAAATCAGCTGCTCACAACTTTAATGCCAGTAGCTCAGAAAGTAGAATTTTTTGCTCACAGGACTCCACAGCTTAGAGGGAGCATTGGTTATGATAATCAGTTGATGCCAAGATGGACAGCACAAGTGAGGTGGTCATAGCAAGGATCTTTTTAGTGATCTGAAGGGAGACAGAGAAGAAACAAAAAATAAAGCAAGTTGCTAAGGGCCAAACTACATGTTAACATGGCAGATGTGTTTGCCCATCTCAAAGGATTTTTAAAGGAATTAAAGAGCTAGTTTTTATACCCCGCTTTTCTCTACCTTAAGGAGCCGCAAAGTAGCTTACAATCTCCTCTCCCTCTCCCCACAACAGGCACCCTGTGAGGTAGGTGGGGCTGAGGGAGTTCTGAGAGAATTGTGACTGACCAAAGGTCACCCAGCTGGCTGCATGTGGAGGAGTGGGGGAATCAAACCCTGTTCTCTAGATTAGAGTCTGTTGTTCTTAAGCACTACACCATGCTGGCTCTCAGCACTGTTGTGGGAGCCTGCAAGTTTGAGGAGAGATATGTTGTGGAAGGGGAAGAAAGAGGCTGCTTAAGTCTTACTCCTCTGGCCAAAATCATCCCTTCCAAGCTGCCCTGCCCTTTCATTGAAAAGCAGCTGGGCACAGGCAGTTTTGAGCTGGAAAATGGCATCAAGGGAAAGGCCCTAATGGAAATGGCCCCCATGTTGTATCACGGTCGGTCTATTCCAGTCCACAGCTTCTTATGGATACCCTTCATTTAAAAATTGTTCAGACTTTATTATACATATATCTGCCATGTAACATCTTATTTGGCCCTGAAGGAAAAAACATATTGGCACCTAAAACAGCCTTCTATGGAGTCGGACCGTTGGTCTATCAGAGTCAGTATTGACCACCCTGACTAGTAGTGGCTTTCCAAGGTCTCAGGCAGAGTTCTTCCACACCTGCCTGCAAAGCAAACGCCCTGCCACTGAGCCACTGCACCTCCCTGTGGTGTAGGTATGAAGGAAAATTAAGGCATCAAGTAATGTGCAACTGATGTACCAAGAGGAAGAATTAGGAGGGGTTTTACAACGTTACCACAGGGAGACAAAAGAAATACACTAAATCCATTGTTTGTCCCTGAAAAGACCTTGATAGATGATGTTTTAAGAAGTTGAACTACTCAGTATATATCTTGCTTTGGGCTTAATGAGGGGGGGAATGCAGCAAAGAAGCATTTAGCAATGCTGACTTAATCAAAGGAGGAGACGTGTCACAGGACAAGACAACAAAGGAGCATGATCCTTTGGTCACAACTGATCTAAATCCGCTCAAGTCAGCATTGCCTGATGATGGGCACCAAAGGATCATGAAGGAAATTGATTATTATCCCATAGCTATTGTATACAAGAACTCAAAGTAGACCTAGAATGCTGGGGGAAGCACATAGAAGAAGGAATTATGAATCTAGGAGTCTGTGCTTAGTGTTTCATTTATTAGAACACAGAAGAGATCGTTTGCAAGCTGCTAGAGGAAACGGAGATTATGAAATCAGGTTAATCAAAGAAAAATACTGGCATGATTTATTTGTAAGAAAATAACGTTGGCATGTAGTTACAAGGTTGGATCCTGCAGTTTTATTTCATGAATAGTGGCACTTTCCTTTTGCCCAAGGGGTCTCCCCTGGTGTAAGAGACTCCTCCACCAGTGAAAGATGGAAGTCTGCATCAGGGGAGGTCTCCGGGTGCCGGCAGAAAGCACTGCCACCAGTAGCACAACAGATCGGCAGGAACCACCCCCCTCCTCAATGTTCTTTTATTAAGCACATATCAAGCCCGTTTCTTTCTTTGATGAAATGACTGATTTTGTTGGCAGGGGGATACAGTTGACACACATCTGACAGTTGACTTCAGGATGGCTTTTGGTTCCAAAAGGTGGGAAGTAGCAGCTTTGCTCTTCCCAGAGATCGCTGGATGCAGCTGGTGTGTTCTGGTATTGACTTACGGTGAATGTTATTCAAGAATTTGATTATATACATGTTTATTTATTACAATATTTGTACTGCGCCTTTCCTCTTGGCTCAAGGTGGCTTCATGTAGGGTTCCTATCTGGTGTTCTTGCACTGTTGAGGAAGCAAGCTGCTTTTCGGTTTATACTGGGAAGTAAGCAGCCTTTCCCTCACCTGGCAGAAACCTCAAAGGCTTCTCACACTTCTTCACTAACTTCCTCTATTAATTCCTTACTGTCTCATCTGAAAGTGCACCCAGGGTCTTGTGCTGGGACTAGCCATGATTCTTGTCCATGGAAGAGCCTATTCTTTACACATAGGATAACCTAAGAACATAAGAAGAGCCCTGCTGGATCAGACCAGGGGCCTATCTAGTTCAGCATCTGGTCTCACACAGTGGCCAAACAGTTACTTTGGAGGGCCAACAACAGGGTATAGAGGCCGAGGCCTTCCCCCTATATTGCCTTGTGGCACTGGGATTCAGAGGCTGACTGCCTCTGAATGTGGAGGTTCCTCTCAGTCACCATGGCTAGTAGCCACTGATAGACCTATCCTCCATGAATCTATCTAACCCCCTTTTAAAGCTGTCTTTGCCTGTGGTCATCACTACATCCTCTGGCAGTGAATTCCACAAAGTGATTAAAATTTGCTGTATAAAGAAGTACTTCCTTTTGGCCACCCCGAATCTACTGAATATCTAGAATTTTGGAAGAGGGAGAAAAAGTTTTTGTCAACTCTCTCCAGTCCAGGCATAATTTTATAATCCTCTATCATGTCACCCCTTAGTCACCTCTTTTCTAAACTGGTAAGCCCCAGACTCTTTAGCCTTTCGCCATGGGGACAGTGCTCCACCCCCCTAATAATCTTGGTTGCCCTCTTCTGTACTTTTTCCAGCTCTGCAATGTCCTTATTGAGATATGGTGACCAAAAATATACACAGTATTTCAAATGAAGCCCCACTATAGATCTATACAGGAGCATTATGATATTGGGTCTTTTATGTTCAATCCATTTCCTGATAATCCCCACCATACAGTTTGCCTTTTTCACTGTTGCAGCACTCTAGCTTGACAATTATGGCAGGAGGTGGATTGATTCACTCCAACAATGGGATAAACTTGGAGGCAATGAAGAGTGAATGTTTCTTGGCACAAACTTTACCATGAAAAACTATTTGAGTTGCAGTTCACAAAATTTTTTGAACAGAAAGCTGAACTTCTCCCCATTAGCTGAAGTGCTGTATCTTTAATGTACAATATCAACCCTATGAACAGCTGCATGTTACGTTTGGTTGTTGATGTGCAAATGTGCCCTATTATACTTTTTTCCCAGAGTTTTTCTTTCTGTTGTGTTGGTTATGGAAGTAGGGAGTGAAAGGAGGTCTCGGGGAGCCGGAGAGAGGTGCATTTCCAGTTAAAGGCGAATGAAGAGTGTCGGGACTGGGGAAGACACAAGCGCTCCAATTGCCTGCCTCTGCTTTGGAATATTAGGCAGCCAGTGCTCTTGGCTGGGAGCCCAGACAGGGCTTTTGTAATCAAAACATGATCTTGTATGCTGTGCAACCAGCATTGAGAAAGGCCGACTGATGGCTCTCCTCTTGTAGCTCTGCTGTGGAATCCACCGAGCTTCACCACTGATGTCCAAAATGCACCGATCTGTGAGTGCTGCCTTTGTTGTGACTGGGAGGGGTACGGGGAATTCATTCCCACATTCAGGAAAGCCAAAAACTGACTTTAAAAAACCTGCATTGTCATTTTGGGGTATTTTGCATTTGGCCACCTGACATGAATCTGAAAGATGTGGGAAGGCAGGGGGGGAAGGTATCTTTCATATAGCAGGTTTTGGTGTTACTATGACCTCACAGGCTGATTCAGGGAGAAGGGGGAGGGGATAAATACCAGAAAGCTGGGTAATGACAGACATTTCCCATGCCAAGACAGGGAGTCTGGAGCTGCATCTGTCAGAGCAAAGAACGAGAATGTTTATTAGAGAGCTTGTGCATGGGCTGCCAGGGAGAATCACTTGCTTGGGGCCCCATCCTTGTCTTCACTCCCCCCCCCCCCGGCTTTTCTTTTGCTCTCCCAAGCCTGGCTTCTCTTTGAAATTTTTCATATTGCTGACTTTGAAAGCATGCAGGGAAATTGTGTGGGCAGACCCGTGTTCTGTGCAAAAATATTGCCTACCCAAGACTGAACAAGAGGTGAGGAAATACAGTTGAAAATCTGCATTAAGCTTCCATTAACACCTTGTTGTTTTGTTCTCTCTCACCCTGTTTCTGAGGCGTTTTAATAGAGAAATAGAGCTCTGAATGTCTGGCTCTGCCTCCCCTTCTTTCCCATTGGCCTCCCTAAAAGATCAGGCACCGCTTTCTGATTCCCAGCCATTGCATGTTTGTGCTGAAGAAGCCATTTATAACTCTGTGGTATAGTCGCTATGGCATACCGGGGGTGGGGGGTGGGGGGGACTTGGTTCCCCGTAAGAACTTTTTACACCAGAGTGGGGTGTCAGAGGGAGTCCATTTCCACCCCAAGTGGGAGCAGAGCTGGCATTCTTTCTCGTAGCCTGGCAGCAGGAACATTCTCTTGTTACGAAAAAAAAAAACGCGGGGGGGGGGGGGAATGCTGACCACGCTTCTGTGGGCTGACTACTGTACACCAGCAGGGAATCAGCATCAAGCTTAAACTGCTGCTTTGCAATTCTACTCAGTTAATTCAGTTGGACCTTTGTTGTTGTTACTGTTCTTGGGGGGGGGGGTTAGGGGGAGAATGTGTAAAAATTAGGGAGGAATGAGATTTCTTCTCTGGTCACAAATATTGGAGCTATTTCAATTAACAGCATAAAGGAGGCTGAGTTGGCCATCACTTGCTGGACAAGTTGGTCGTATCAGTTCTTCTACTACTAATACTCTACTCATACCGGTGGCATTGGAAGGTTTTGTGGGCCACATTTCTTTGGGCTAAGACAGAACACTTTTTCAAGCTTATTTATTATTATACTATTTATACACAACCTTTTGCTTGTGGCTCAAGGTGACTTACAATTCGAAGATTCAATACACACAATAAAACTCTACCCTCCCCAAAATGCCTGCCACCTAAACCCAATTAAAAACACGCAAATAAAAGGACCTTAGAGCTGGGGTTGCCACACGCTCCGGGTGGTGGCTGGAGATCTCCTGGGATTACAGCTGATCTCCGCATGACAGAGGTCAGTTCACCTGGAGAAAATGGCCACTTTGGAAGGTGGACTCTGTGGCACCATGCCCCATTGATGTCCCTCCCTTCCCCAAACCCCACCCTCCTCAGGCTCCACCCCCAAAATCTCCAGGTATTTCCAGGTCTGTAGCTACAGTGGTGCATTTAGGGGCTCCACCCCCTCAAATGTGAGGCATACCCCACAACAGCTACTGCCCCTCTCCCCTCTCCCTCCCCTCCTGTGACATTAACAGAGGCCTCCAGCTGATCGGCAGAGCACGTGGCCCACTGATCAGCTGGAGGGCCCTTTAAATCTTTGCAGCTGCTCCTCTCTCCCTCCCCTCCTCTAAGATTTAAAGGCTCCCCTTTAAACAGTGTTCTTCCAGCGGGGGCTGCCTGTGCCTGAACTCCAAGTGGCAAAATCGCTGCTTGGAGTTCAGGGAAGGTGTGTGGCTGCCCTTCTCCCCACCCTCCTCCCCCTTCCCCTCCCTTGGTGCCCCACAAAATGTCGCCATGCCCCACCAACCCAAAATTTCTGGCTATGGGGCTGGGTATTTCCTAGCCTGGAACTAGCAACACTGCTTGGAGGGGTGTCGAACTCACTGAAAATGTGTTATTTAAAGTTTAAAAAATCTTTAATTGTGTTTGTATGTGTCCTTTATAAAGTTTATATCTCTGCTACCTGGCATTACCTCTTATGACACACATGACCCGGCCCAACAAGATCTCATTTATGTCAGATCTGGCCTTCATAACAAATGAGTTCAACACCCCTGGTATAGAGCACCTCCTAAAAACCTGCAAGGATAGTGCCCCCTAGGATTACAGTCTGTTTGGAGAAAAAATGTCTCTTCTCCCTTATAAATAAAAGCCGAATGGTGGTGGCACTTCTCTAGAACATTCCACACGCTCCAAAATCAGTTCGCTCTCTGATCTGTCTATCAGAGGGTCTCCCTATTCACTGGCTGCTTTGCCTGAGTCCTGCCTCCAACATTCTAAACATTTTGCTGTTCCTCTCCCCCCCCCCCATAGTCTATTCCCTTCTGGGGAACCATTGTTGCCAATCTCCAGGTGAGGGCTGGAGATCACTCAGAATTACAACTGCTTTCCAGATGGCAGAGATCAGTTCCCCTGGAGAAAATGGTGGGCTCTGTATCCTTATATGCTGCTGAGGTGGCCCCCATATGACAGCCAATGTGACGTAGCAGTCAGGGCTTCAGAGCATGGGAGAGACTGCAGGTGTGTGTGGGGGTGGAAAGCTGAAGAGTGAGGGGAAAATAAGGGTAGGTTGATGATTGGCTGGGAAGGAGATAGGGTTGCCAACTCCAGGTGGAAAATTCCTGGAGATGTGAGGGATGGAGCTTGGAGAGGGTGAGGTTTCAGGAGGCGTGGGACCTCGGACAGGTACAAAGCCATAGACTCCACCCTCCAAACCAACTATTCCCTTATGGGGAACCATTGTTGCCAATCTCCAGGTGAGGGCTGGAGATCACTCAAAATTACAACTGTTCTTTAGGTAGCAGAGATCAGTTCCTCTGGAGAAAATGGTGGACTCAGTGTCATTATACCCTGCTGAGGTCGCCACAGCAAATTGACACTGAGTGTCCAAGGCCGGGGCACCCGCCCAGAGCCTCTTTCTAGAGGTCGTTGTATTTATTTCCACAACGGGCCTTTTTCCTAGTCCTTTAATAAAGGATCAGTGGGATGTTATTTTCCAGGTGGTATTATTTACATCTAACTCATAAAAAATGTCAACTGACAATTTCCACACATCAAGACCGATTTCTCAGTAGCCGCTGCTCCGCCCTCACGTTTCCCTTTGCCCCGATCACATTAGTCAATTTCCCACTACTTGCTGCACGGCCGCATTTTGCCCCGCAGCTTCGCCCGATTTCCTCTGCGTCTACTCAATCCCCCCCAAACAGGATTAAGTAGACATGGGGGAAATCGGGCAAAGCTGCGGGGCAAAATGCGGCCGCACAGCAAGTAGTGGGAAATTGACTAATGTGATCGGGGTAAAGAAAACGCGAGGGTGGAGCAGCGGCTAGTGAGAAATCAGTCTAAGTCTCTATTAAAGGGACAGGACACCCCCCCACTGCCTATTGGCAACCCTAGTTCCCCTTCACTTCCTCAGGGAGCCTGTCCTACAAAGTGGGAGTCACTATATAGAAAGAACAGGCTTTAGTAGATGCTACGGGCTACCGTAAGCTGGGGGATAACTAGAAGCAGACAACCAGAAGGCTACATTGGTGCATAGGGTCATATAGGGAGAGGTAGTCCTTCAGATATGTGGGCTGCTGAATCACGTCCACATTATAATTATTGTACATCAAACTACTTCCACATATTTCTCCTGTGATGAAAGCACTAGCATAGGAAAGACTTGTATGTATCAGAAACGTATTCAAATCCTTTGGATATTACAGATTGCAACTTGTCTCCTGGAGTAAAAATGATCCTGTGTCAGACTCTCAGTGAGACCAGTCTTGACTCAATATTCCTTGAAGAAGTTTATTGAAAAGATTTGGTCAACTGTAGAGGTGAACATCCTTGTCAGGACTGGCAAAACCAGAGTGGGAGGTGGAAAGTAAAGTTATATGCCCACATTCCACACACACATCACACATCAGCTTCATTAACGGTCCTGAGAGATATACGACCGAACTAGCTATTCCCAAAGTCTTATCTTCGCCCAAGGTCACTCCCATGTGAAAACCCAGGAACTCCTTGGGGGGCTGCTTGAAGAAGAGTTACAACGGCGTGGTCCTAATGCTACAGACAATCAGACTCTCACTCACTCCCCCCCAGGAAGGAATGCCATGGCAGGGAGGGCACAAGATAAGAAGCCAAGAGCTAAGCCAGATGTGCCAGCAAGCAAGCAAGAATACAAAAGCGAAACCAGCATTGACAATACAGTAAATCAATAAATCCCATTCAAGGGCCCGAGTCTGACACCTGCTTCATCTACTCAGCTGACCACAACCATTGCTTTCAGGAGCACTTGGGGCACCAGGTGGGCTTGGAGCCTACCCTGAAACAGCTGGGTGAGACTTTGGTATGACCCGGTGCCCTCACTTAGGGACCTGAGTATAACCTCTGCAATTTGCAGCAGCTCAAAAAAGGGGTCTGCAACCACGCAAATGACTGTGTCTCAGTGCTAAGAGAATGTGCTTCTTGTACAGAAGGTCTTCAGTTCGGTTCCTGCCACTTCCAGTTAAAGGATCCCATCTCCAGTGCTGGGAAAGGCCTTGTTCTGCTTGAAGCTCTAGAGAGCTACTGCCAGTCAGAGTATTTCATTCATTAATTCACATTCACATTCATGTATTCACTTGGTGCATTCCTATCCCTCCCTTCCTCCAAGATGCTTCCTCCAAGATGGCATACATGTTTTTGTAATCTTCCATTTCATTTTCACAACAACCCTATGAGGTAGGTTAGGTTAAGAAATGATGATTGGTCACCT